CTTGATAGAATACAGATCAGGCCTCTTGACAAATGGGGGTCATAATTGTCCTTATTTATTGTAGGTATCATAATCATTGTCATTACTTATGAGTACAGCTGTTCATATTTGATTGGATTTTCAAGGTATCAGAGAAATTGCACATGAAACAGATCTTGTATCTTTTAGGAATTTATATTCTAACCTCACAGTTTCTAATATGGAGCTATTATCTGCATATGGCTGTTTAAATTTAAATAGGCTAAATCCAAGTAACAGTACATTCCCACTTTTCATTTGCTCCATAGCCATAATGTGCCCATGGTGATCTTGTCAAATATTATTAAAACATAATTTCATATAATGTTACAATTATACAGTCTACACTGTGTATTTTGATGACAAATGTAGATTATCAGAAGGGGAAGTATCTCTATGATCACTGGATTTAATTATATGAATCAAGTAGTTTTCATCTTAAATATGAGAGAGGCTTCACCACATTCTGTGGATCAACTCAACGTTTGTGGAATAAAGAAATTCACAGAGAAGTAAAATTTTTGCACAGATAGTGTTCTCTGGAATTTGTTTCTTGATTTCTTGCCATGGAAAGTAAATAACACTGTCCTTATGTCAGTAAGGAATAATAATCCATTTTCAAAGAAAATAAAAATGATAAATCAGGAAGTAGAAAAGTGCTAAACCAATGAACAGATAATACAAATGATTATCTGGATGCATAAGTCTTCAGTGTTGGCTTGAAAAACAGGGAAGATTCCTTTAATGAACCAAAAACTTGTGAATTTTCTGTAATTTTATGTAAAGGCCTAGTGGATAGGTTGTCATATGAAAAGGCAGTACAAACCAATGCATCATTGATTGGGAAAACCTGATCATTTTGAAGGAATAGAGAGATGTTGATAATATCTTAGTGAATGGAGGGTCCTAATTAACAAAGTTGATTACTGTGTATCAAATTATATATTCCCATTCAGAAAGTAATTCTAAAATTTTCATGATAAAGCTGGGTTTTAGAAAAATTATTTTCACTGAAAAAAAAAAGAGCATGGAAAAATCAGACAAAACATGATACCTGTTTGTGCTTATATTCTAATCATAGCTACAGTAAGTGAGGACAAAGACGCAGTATTTTCCACAGGAATACTCACTGTTCTAGCAGAGATAGACATAAAAACCCAAGCTAGTGATGTACTAAAGCAGCCTCTCTCCAGTTCTATGCACATGTTTCAAAGCCAGAACAAGCCAGATGGCAGTGGCCTTTGTTCTGACTGTGTCTGATGAGAGCTTGTATATTTAAATATGTCACAAACGCTTATTTCTCATCTTCATGCAGATAACAGGAAAGAGTGAAAGATCACAAATAAAGGTTTATTCACTTATCTGCTCTACAGACTCATTTTTATCTTTTCCTTCATATGCAAGACAATAAAAAGAAATCAATGTTCTGGTGAACATGATGGTTCTGAACACTCAACGTGAGGAAAACCAGGTTCTGTTAGTTGATATTCTGGTAGCTGATATTGGTAGCCAGAAATGAAATCCACAAATAAGAGTTGCTAGGAGAAATATTTTAACTAATTAATCTACACTCATTTTGAAACTATCCAGAGTCTGTATTAATATTACCATTTATACGCAACGTAAAATATATCTCAGAACTCTTGGCTAGAGATTAATTTTGAAAACTGATTCATAACTCTTCATCAGAAGTCTCATACTTATTCCAAATACTGTTATTTTTCAAGTCCATATTGATCTTTGAAATTTCTTTTTATAAATGTGCATATAAATTGAAATTTTCTGTAGTAAAACTTAAGAGTATAGGTTAAATACAAAATCAGCAGTCTTTCTTATTTTCAAGAGTTCTAGTCTTCTTCTGAGAGGTAATAATCATTATAGGATTTGTGCATGTATAACTTTCAAGAAAAAAAAAAACATCTTTCTCCTCTCTTCCTCCCTCCCCCTCCCTCTCTGCCTTTCCCTACTCCCCTTTCCTGTACAGGAAAATATGTGATGCTACAATGGCATACAACACAAGTATTGACAGAGCAGTATTCCTGTACGCATTAGAATTTAATGTGGAACAGTATTTCAAAGCATAGATGAATACTTACTACCTTTGTATTTGGCTTGTTCTTAGCAGTGTTCAAAGGAAACAACCTGCTACATGGATTACCCTCTAATATCAAATTTGTACATTTTTACTTTACTACTACTTTGTCCATTTTTATTTTGATACACTACTTTCTGAAAAGTTTATTGTTTAAAGATTAAATGCATCTTAAACTTTGGTAGACAATGAATGGGTCTTTCAAACAAGATGCATATGATACACACAAAAAACTTACCTAACATAAATAAAATTGCAGATTATGTTTACAATAATAGATAGGAAGTAATGAGAATCTGATATTTTACACATATATTTCTTCTATGCTGCTGAAAGCATTATTTGTAGATTGCAAATTCCTGTCCATAGGTGAATAAATAATCTCAGTAATATTAATCAACTGTGATCACCATTGTGGTTTTCAAACATATGACAGTATATTATGTTTGTTGTGATTCCAACTGTAAGCAGACTAGATAAAAACAAATATTTTGTTGTTATTTAGTCCACCAATTGCATCAGAAGCAACCACAGATAATGACTCAGTTTTCTCAATACAAGAAAGTGTTTAATTTCTCCTTTTACAATTCTATAATATTTTAGCTTTGACATCAAAGCCTTATGAAAAATATAAATTTTAATTTAGAATAAATTAAGTAAGTGGATTGTAGGAAATTCTTATTCATTACTGTCACAAAAGTAACATTAGATCTAGTTTTGAGGATGTCTGAAATCGAGCATTAGACTTCCTACTCACAATTCACCATCTAATCTAACAAAAATAAATGAAAGTCCTAATAGCTTTAGAGTTCAGTGACATTGATCAATGCTCATAACATCTCACTGTTATTACTGAGGAATTTGTTCATTTATAATTCCTGTTAGGTTGCTCTGACATGATCTGTAATTCTTGAGTTAGCATTTTGATATGCTGAAGAAACAACACAGTAGTAATATAAATGAGTATTTTAATAAATACATTCAGTGTAAGAATTATTCCAAAGCATTAATAGATCACTAAAAATAATTAATGGAATAATATGTAATAGTAATGTTAAAGTCATGGAAAATAGGTGCTCCACATCAAGACACAAGTTGGTATTTTAATGTGAATTTAAATTTGAATGTGCTGTTACCAAATCATATAGCTACATGTGACATGTACTTCTGACAGATGCTGTTTCATGGTCTATCATGGTATTCCTATGTTCACAAGCATTTGGTCAAGTGTCCTCAGCATTTTACACCCAGCTTAGATTAATAACGTTGAACTTAGAAATTTAAACCTTAATTCTTGGAATAACTTTTTGATCATTAGTTTCATTTTCCAGTACCCAGATATTTTTAAATAGTCATTTGTGCTTATTTAAGTATTATGTGGAAGCATGCACACATATCATGCGACTGTCTGTTAATTAGTACAGATCAAACAAATGTTTTTGATCATGTGAACGAAAGTCTTGGTTCTAATCTCCTCTGTATATGATCCACTTCTACATTTCCTAGGAAATCGTCAACAGTCAAAGCAAATGGAAGTCTTTGCATTAAAACTGAAGCCCTTCTTTATTTCCGAGGTGGTTTTCCTACTGCAGTACATTCTGGTTTCTATGCCACAGAATTTCTTAAAACTCACTTCCCAGCAGAGCAGTTTATAGGGACACCTAGTGGTGAAAGTGACTGGGGTTGCTGTGGCAATGATGTGACATGAATCAGGGCTAGAGAGCTTTCATTTTTTACTTGAACCACACAAGGAAATCTGGAATGTGGGATTAAGTGTTTCATGCAACATTGTGAGTTGAGCTAGTTCAAAGTGTATTTGATACTCCTAGGTTTAATAAAACGTGTTTTAAATGGGGCACTATTTAAAATAAAATAATATGAAATGGAGTATAAACCCCTGTTATATATTGAGTGGAACTGTGAAGGTGTTACACACTAATACCATGAAACAGATATCTTGAGAATTCTAATAACTAAGACATTCTATAACTTATCAGAACTTCTATTGAGTCAGTAATCATTAAATATTAGGTTGCTGACAGGACTCAGTATTGTCATCCTGGAGGTGAATGCACCTGAAAAATTAAATATTCACAATTTTAAAATATAAAGGTGATTTTTTTCACAAATTTTAAAAGAAAATTTTTACTTTGTTATGTCAGATTATAAGATAAATAACTCAGTGATGGTATAGTGTTAAATTTACTGCTTTTAAAGGAAAGTTTGATGTATACCTGGGAGCCAGTAGCTGCCATTCCTATGACAAACGTGCTAGTTTAATAGGGTTCCAAGATTTTCATCATCTGACATCACAGACTGTCAGTCCTTTCTGCCTTGTAGAGTACTCAAACACAAGAAATACACAACACTCTTTCAAAGTGTTTATGGCTTAGCTACAAAATATATGCTCGGCATATTTATCTAGAGGAAATTTTAAAAGCATTACACATTTCAAGAGGTTGAGATCACTCACTACCTCTCTATAAAGCCTTCAAATTCAACATATAAGGATGCTGTCAAGCGCTGTTTATAGACACACGTAAACAGGGCCTCTGGAATCTATTTATTTCAATCACATGTTTAATCAGAGTAAAACCACAGTAATATCCCCCAAGTTAAAGCTCAGAGAATTCCATTTATGTTTAAAACGTAATTTCAGAATAGAAAGTGTGAAATGCATTTGCATGACAAAAGTACCCACCTATGACAGCAGCTTGAAGCACAAGAGCAGCCTGGCCTGGGTCACTAACTCTAAACAACTTTCTTATGGCCTCTTGTGAGGACTGCGGACCTAACATTCCTAAAAGGTAAAACACATCTTACAAATACACAGACCTCCTTTGAGGGGAGGAAGTTGTCTGGTTTCCTGGAAGAAGCCGGTCATACTTACCATAGAGGTGATCAGGAGGAGTTCATCAGGTGACGCTTCCACAAACTCGCTTTCAACAGACACTGCCTCTATTTCAGTTGTTTCCAGCTTTCTAGTTCGCTTAGTGTGTTCACTTTCTCTCTGGAGAACCATTCCGACATACATAAAACGTGATTCTTTAAAAAAAAAAAAGATAAAAAGATAAAAATAACGCCCTCTCTATAGCTAGGACAGGCCACTCCCTCCAGGATCCTTTACTGGAGGCTCTAGAAGCAGTAGTATGGACACTTCTAAGGGGCAGCGGCATCTGGGCAAACGGCAACCGGTAGGAATCATCTGATCCCTGGTCATCACCGAGCCTAGCACTGTCAGGGGTATTTCCAGTCCTCCTTTTCCAAGAAGACGATTGCACACGCCTACGCTCGAATTGCGCACATGGTCCAACACTCCTCTGTCTCCACGAATGTGACATCGAGGGGGGCTCTGGCTGCGCCTCCAGAGCCCAGGGACTCCTTCGCCCTCGGCTGCCATCTACCGGCCACTGAGCGCCCGCTTCGCCCCAGGCCCATCATGTCTGCTGCAGCTTGGCTCGCACCAGCGGCGCGACAATAAACAAGTGCAGCGGACGGGGCCCTGCTGCACCCGCTACCCGGCAGATGTGGCCGCCTCCTCAGCTCCCGGGAGAGAAGGCACGACTTTTTCTGAGTTGTTTTTTTTTTTTAATTTATTTTTTTGCTTTTTAGAGCGGCCAGCCTGTCAGGACATGCCACAGGCATAGAACAACGCTGCTTCTGCCTCCTCGGACCCCTCCAAGGATGTCGGAGATAAAGAGTTGCAAATAATGAGGATCGTGCGCCGCATCTGGGGAGGGATAGCGAAAATCCGCTGCAAACACTAGGAACGGTGAAGCCACCAAGAGGATGCGGGAGCCTTTCAAATACTAATTAGGGGCCGCGACTGCAGGTTAGCCTTGGGGACAGCGGCATCCCGGCTGCAGTGGTCGAGGCGCGTGGGGGAGAGGAGCACAGCGGAGGAACCGCCGGCGGAGCAGCCGAGGGGCCAGTACCACCTTCTCTCGCCCCCTCACTACCATGTACAGTGTGCGCTGCAAGAAGAAGGCGGGCGATGCACGCACACCCTCGAGCCCCGCTCCCTCTGGCTCGTCCCGGGGCGTGCGCCACTGACCAGGGGGGGAATGTGGTGAAGACGCCGACCGGGAGAGACTAGGGGGGAGGGGAGGGCCGGCCCGCACGATCCCAGGCCGGAGGGTGCCAGGAGCCCGAGGCGGCTGGAGGGGGCGGCTGCCATCGCTGGGTCGGAGAAAGTTGCCCCCCGTGCAGATGGGAACAGTAAGTACCCGCCGGGTCCGGGGGGCAGGGAGACGGGGCCGGGAGACCTGGGGATCGCGCGTGGGAGCGATGGTGCGAGGGAGCGTGAGTGAGATGGGGTGCGAGCGCTCGCCCAGGCTGGCCAGCACGTTAGCTGGGCGGCGGAGCCAGGCTGCCAGCTCCGCGTCCCCCTCCTCGGTCTCCCCACTTCCCCTCCCCACTGCGCCCTCCCCGCCCTGCCGGCTCAGGCTCCCAGCCCCTGCCGCGAGCCGCCTTTCCAGCGAGTCCCTGGCCGTCCCCTCCCCCACTCCCCCACCCGACTGCCCGCTCCGGCTACCGCGGAGAGCGCCAGGGAGAGCCCTTTGGGGAGCCCGGGAACCCGCGGTCGCCACCGCGGTGGCGGCCCGGGGCTAGCGGCGTCCTGGTGCCGCTTTCCCCCCGGCAGCTCAGCTTGCCCTACTCGCAGCCTTCGGTGTCTGCCTAGGCTTCAAAAATCAGTGCACACCCCGAAGAGGTGTTTTTTTCTAAAGGGTAGCGATGATGAGTGGGCCCCCGAGATGTGAGACGGGGTAAGTCTGTGGTTTACTTTGCAAAAGAGGTTCCTGTGTGTGTGTCTGTGTGGTATGGCGAAGTGGCTTTCTTTGCTTCTCTCCCTCCCCTCCTTCCTCCCTTTACCCTTCCTTTGCATTGGGGCGGGGTGGGGGAGGGGGAGCCTCGGGTCCTGGAACTCCGGTTGCCTCAGCCTGAGCGGCGGTTCCAGCGGCTGTGCCGGGAGCCGTGGGTCCGGCCTGGGTTTCGGCTCCAACCCGAGTGGCTCCATGCTGCTTAATGCAGGGATATGGCAGGCGGCGATCCAGGCTCTAAATTCTTTGGAAGCGAATACAGTCCCCCGTCCCCGCCCTCTATCCTTTTTTTTTTTCTTTTTGTTTTAATAAACCAAAAACATGTGGTGCACCCGCGAGTTTACACCAGTGGTGCTTTTCCCTGTCTGAATGTTAGCATTTCCAGCTCATTCAACTTTATTTTCTCAAATCTTCAGTCTCCTTTGATGGCTGGGGACGGCGGGGGAGGGGGTGAATGGAGAGGAGCTTTGGAAAAGGCTGTTCGACCTCGGCTAGCCAGAACTGAATTAAAGTTGTAAACGTTCGAATTTAATACTGCCTGGACACAATTTGCGATGGACTCTAAGATGGGGAAGGAGGTGAATGGGGGCGGGGAAGCACCGAGAGGGAGGGGGAGGCGATCCAAGCCAGCTAAATAGATGTGCACATTTGATCCAACGGAGAACCCAAATTTCAAGGTAAACGTTTTGCTTTCGTACCAGGATGTTTAGCACCCAAGCCGTCTACTGTGGTGCGGGGAGGTCTGAAATACTAGTGAGGTTTCTGTAATGTGGTTCCGATCTGTCTCGATAACGTCTGGATGGCCAAATGTCAATGATTCCTAGGCACACTTGCACATGTGCGTGCGAATGCAGACGCTCTGAACCAGGAGGGTTGGTGCGACTTGGTGATCATGTGCAAGGTTTGCAAGCTTGAACCTGTGCTTTAGAAACGTCCTGGCTTCAGTTCTGCACTGAGATTCTCATCAGGTTTTGGTGGGAGGCAGAAACAAGGTTGCTCGGAGAAAAGGCTAGGTTCCCAGAACCCCCCCCCCCCCCCGCCTCAGTTCTATCAACTCTCCCCTAAACAACCCAGTACTCCACATTAAGTCCACTTGTGTCCATCCTCTAAGAGTGTAAGAGTGTGACTGTCAACCCAAAGTAGGAAGTCAAAAGAAGCCTTCCAGTGATAAAAAGGAAGAACAGAAGGGGGAGGGGATCAAAGTGGCTTCTCAGGGAGAGGAAATTCAGATGTTAAAACACTGGCCTGTGACACTTGCCTCTATTTTGTCTTTCAATCATCTCAGCCTCCCTTTCTACCAGAAAGGGAAATAAAGGAGGGGATCCTTGACATTTAAATGTAATAAGCAACTTCAAAGATGGAGATGTTGGCAAGGCGGTAGTTCGTTCCAAATCTTCTTAATTCAAGCAGGGCTACTTTTGCATACCGTGGCAAACTGACTTGGAGCCCAGGGTAATAGAGCATTTGCCTCTGATCGGTGGTTTACTTTTAGCTGCTTCGGGATAAGCTGTAGAAATGTCCTCTTTAGACTCCCAGTATTCAGAGGTGCTCTGAGATTGCGGATGCCTTTGCTGAGTTCTTTATAATCAATCCATCGTGCGGAACTATTACATTGGTTAAAGATGCGGTTTTGTAGCGTCGCTGGCATGATCAATGAGAAGAAGAGGTCTCAGGGCTCTCTAGAAGAAGCGCTGCTAAGCGACATGGTGCCTACAATCAGGGCTCTGATATGCTTAATAGCTGTGGTGAAGTCCACCATCAAAGCCAACTGACTCCCCCACCCCCACACCTCTACATTCTCAGCGCTCCAGAGGACAATTGGTGATTTAAAAGCTTCTCTTGGCTTCTCTTGATGCATGATCTTGCATCCTTTCTGCCTCTGAAAAGTATTCTCTACATTCCCACCCTGACATTTCTTGTGGCGATTTTAAATGGCTCAAAGTATTGTGCCCCCACGCTTGTCTGTAAAAATGGGAGACCTTAACAGTAAAGTGTTGTCAGAGGAGACTCTGAAAGAAAGCAAGGGGGGGCTGGGTAGAGGTGGAGTGGAGAACCCTGTTGAAAAAAAATTATACTTCTTCCTCTTAAATTGGAGCTATGAAGGTGTACTGACAGCCATTTTATGTATATTTATGGATTAGTTTTGATGAGGGAGGGCAGAGAAGACTAACACAGGAATTTATCTGCCTTCATCTTCTAAAGAGCAGAAAATTGGTGGCATGCTCATTGGGAAATACCATGAGACTTCAAATCAAAATGAATAATAGCCAATTTTGGTAAAGTCTGAAGGATATAGTGTTCCACTTGGGCAAGAGAGGAGGTGCTATGTATATGTATATGTATATATCTCCTCCTGGATTTCAGAGAAAAAGTATTAGGAAAAAGTGGACTTCCTGATTAATCCCCTCCCCCTTTTTTTTGCCTGTGATATTCTGTTATTTCCTTGTTTCCTCTCTCCCTTGCAGGAGGTAAAATGCACGTTTGCTGCCCCCCAGTAACTTTGGAACAGGACCTTCACAGAAAAATGCGTAGCTGGATGCTGCAGACTCTAGCATTTGCTGTAACATCTCTCGTCCTTTCCTGTGCAGAAACCATCGATTATTATGGGGAAATCTGTGACAATGCATGTCCTTGTGAGGAAAAGGACGGCATTTTAACTGTGAGCTGTGAAAACCGGGGGATCATCAGTCTCTCTGAAATTAGCCCTCCCCGTTTCCCAGTCTATCACCTCTTGTTGTCTGGGAACCTTCTGAACCGTCTTTATCCCAATGAGTTTGTCAATTACACTGGGGCTTCAATTTTACATCTGGGAAGCAATGTTATCCAAGACATCGAGACCGGGGCTTTCCATGGGCTGCGGGGTTTGAGGCGGCTGCACCTAAACAATAATAAACTGGAACTTCTTCGAGATGACACCTTCCTTGGCTTGGAGAACTTAGAATACCTGCAGGTCGATTACAATTACATCAGTGTCATTGAACCCAATGCTTTTGGGAAACTGCATATGCTGCAGGTGCTTATCCTCAATGACAATCTCTTGTCAGGTTTACCCAACAATCTTTTCCGTTTTGTGCCCTTAACGCACTTGGACCTGCGGGGGAATAGGCTGAAACTTCTGCCCTATGTGGGACTGTTGCAACATATGGATAAAGTTGTGGAGTTACAGCTGGAGGAAAATCCCTGGAATTGCTCCTGTGAACTAATTTCTCTCAAGGATTGGTTAGACAGCATCTCCTACTCAGCCCTTGTGGGTGATGTGGTCTGTGAGACCCCCTTCCGTTTACACGGCAGGGACTTGGATGAAGTATCCAAGCAGGAACTTTGTCCAAGGAAACTCATTTCTGACTACGAGATGAGGCCACAGACTCCTTTAAGCACCACGGGGTATTTACATACCACCCCAGCCTCTGTCAATTCTGTGGCCACTTCTTCCT